ACTACTGCTGCAATACTCTTCTAGGGGTTAATCCTCAAACCCTAACAATTCTGATACATAGTCGAGATCTTTTTGAAGAGTAGCAGTATTGTCTGTGGCATTGAATAGCTTTACATCATCAGCGAAGAGAACGCAATTGCTCTTAATATGATCACAGAGGTCATTTATGTAGAGTATGAAGAGAGTTGTTCCTAGAACACTGCCTTGGGGGACACCACTGTTGACAGGTACAGAATTTGATAGGACGCTCCCAATTTTGACCATTTGTTGTCTGTTTGACAGGAATGCTTCTATCTAGTTATGCAGGTGTCCAGAGATACCATAAGATTTTAGTTTTAGTAGTTTGTCATGTACCACTGAATCAAAGGCTTTACAGAAGACTATGTAGAGTGCGTCTATTGCTTTGCTCTGATCGAGTTGTGTAGTCCATATGTTTTTGTAGTGTAAGAGTTGCAGATTACAGGATAGTTTTTTCCTGAAACCAAATTGTTTATTAGAGAGTAGGTTGTTTGTCTCTAAGTGGAGGATAATGGATTGGTTAATAATTGATTCCATGACTTTACAGCATAAAGAGATTGGTCTGTAATTTTCAACTAGGCTGGGGTCTCCCTCTTTGAAGATGGGGATGACTGTGGCTTGTGACCATAGTTTTGGCAAGAAGCTGGTCCTGAAAGATTTTTCAAAGATTATGCTTAGAGGTTCGGCTATGGCAGTGGATAGCTTTTTTAAGAAGTAGGCACATATTCCGTCCGGTCCAATAGATAGAGATGGTTTTAGATTGCATAGTGCTTTTTCAACATTGTCTACTGTAAAATCGATATGTATTAGATCATTGTAGTTGTCTGTGGTTCAACTAGGAAATACTGGGCATGATCCATTGCTGTTATCAAATACTAAGCCAAAGAATGTGTTAAAGAGGTTGGCTTTAATAGTGTTGTCGTTACAGTCTTTACCAAATTAAGTGATAATTTGACCAACTTTGGGGGGGGGGATTTAAGGATGTGTGTGGGAATCATGTACAACAATAAGTCTTCCCAAGTCAGCCACCCCTCTTAGTTGTATGCTGCAGTATTACTGGATGACTTGCAATGCAACAGAAAATGCAAATGGCCAGGTTGCAGCCTCACCCTCTTAAACACATACCTGGAATAAAGCATGATTAGGTTAACCATGAATAAATGTGTTATAGGAATAGTGTATAAAAATCATTCCTTATGTACACAAGGCAAATTCAGTTTCTAGGAAGTTCAATGGTCATATTATTTGAATTTCTAACTCCTGAGTCATATTTCAGGCATTATTTTAGATCTAAGGGAGGTTGCCATGTCCAGTCAAAACCATATATTCTTCTCCACTCATCCTTTTTTTGCCATCCTTATCTTGAGAATAGTCTGTTAGGATCATGGAGAGCAGTTACATATTTCAAAAAGTTGGTATATATACACACAAAGGTTAATATGACTCTTGGGTAGGATAACTAGCAGCTGTCAGTGTTTTTCAAACTTGGCAACTTTAAG